CTCTCCCCTCCAGAAGATAGAGCTTAATCCCTCCACCGCCAGTAGGATAAATGGAACTTAGTGACTTGCTTTCAAAGAGTATAGAGTACGAAAGGGGAAAAATAGCAACTTTATAGTGTAGAAACCTGACAGGCTCTACCTGAAGGAGGAGATCAAGGTTAACATCCCCAGTGATGTCACGTACATGTCAGGTTCTTCCTCATGTGATGTAATGAGAAGGCACTTCACCTCTGTGCTATTCTTTCAGAAATCCCAGAACCCCAGTCTAACCATGAGGAAACAAGTCAGGCAAGCCCCAAATACAAAATACCAAACCAGTACCCCTCAAAACTGCCAAGGTCATGAAAAACAAAAGGTTGAGAAATTGTCACAGATCAGAGGAGACTGTGGAGATATGACAACGAAACGTGTTGTTATTTCCTGTACTAGATTCTAGAACACCTAATGGACGTTAATGAAAAAATTAATGGTAACATCCAGGTAAAGCCTGGAGTTTAGCCAATAGTAATTATGTTAATTTTCTATTACTTCATAATCAAGTACCAAAAATATTCCCACACAGCTCTATGGATCAGAAGTCCTGGCACAATGGGACCAAATCCCATTTAGGGACTACAAAGGGACTACCCCCAGGGACTTACAAAGCTGAAATCAGAGTATCAGCCAGGCTGTGCTCCTTTCTAGAGGCTCTGAGGAAGAATATACTTCAGCTGGGTCGTTGGTCAAATTTATCTGTTGCACTTACAAGACTGAGTTTCCCACTTACCGTCTGTGAGTTAGGGGTCACCGTAAACATCTAAAGACTCTCAGGGTCTCGCCACATAGCATCCTCCATGTTCAAAGTTAGCAAGAGAATTTTGCTTCTATCAAATTCCTCGGGCTTTGCCTCTGACATCCCTGTCTCTGAGCTCTAGACCAAGATCCTACAGGTTCATGGGATTAGACCAGGCCCACCCTGGTAATTTCCCTTCCCTAAAGTGAACTGATTTGGATTCTCAGTTGCTTCTGCAAATTCCCTTCACAGCAACACCTACATTAGTATTGGATTGACTAGGACACCAGGTGGAATCATAGAATGCTGCCTGCCACAGTGACTGATGTACCAACATTGATTTCTTCGATTTGACAAACATGCCCTAGTGATGTGAGATGACAACATTAGGGCAAGGAGTTTATGGAAACTCACCGTACCATCTTTGCAACTTTTTAAATCTAAAACTATTCCAAATAAAAGGTTTGTGTAGAAAACAGTGTCTTCAAAAATCCGAAGTAAATGGAATGTGCCATCTTGTGCCTCCTGGGACACAAACTGATAGAATCACTGTATTTGATGACTATGAACAGTAGCAGCATAGAGGATTGAGGAGCAATGAGGAACAATAACAAGGAAGCAGGAGGAGGAGGGAGAGAAGAGGAAAAGAAAGAGAAAGACAAACACGAGGAGGAGGAAGCAGCAGCTTACATTTATTGACCATGTAAGTGCCAGGCATTTTCTTAAGTACTGTGTAGAAATAGTCTTATTTAACCTCTGCGATGACCAGACAGGGCATTATCTTATTGAGTTATCTCCCGATGTTACAGATGAGGAAACTGCAGTAGAAATGGTTACATGGCTTCCTGGAAGTCGCACAGTCAGTCAGTGCTGGAGGCAGGAATCAAATTCGGGTAATCGGACTCCTGAGTCTTCATTCAGAAGCATCTTCCCGTTTGATTCCCCATAGTCCACGCATCCACAACATCAACCCACTCCTTCAGCCATTCTGCTCTTCCCTGAAAAGCAGGTCGCTTCCTAAGAATGTAACATACGCAGTAGTTTACATTTGACCCAAATACTAGTGCGAACACAGTCCACCACCATGAAAGCCCAAATGACAGTGTCCTGAAATGCCTTGCATAAGAGAATATTTGAAACCCCAGTCATCTCACGTGTCTTTTTCCCTGTGCATAGAGCTCCGAGCTCATTCTGATGAGCTTGTGTTTATTTGTAAACACATTCTTTCTTTTTTAAAGTTTATTTATTTTTGAAAGAGAGAGTGAGACAGAGAGACAGAGCATGAGCAGGGGAGGGACAGAGAGAGGGAGACACAGAATCCAAAGCAGGCTCCAGGCTTGAGCTGTCAGCACAGAAGCCCAACGCAAGGCTTGAACCCAGAACTGAGAGATCTTGACCTGAGCTGAAGTTGGCAGTTAGCCAACTGAGCCACCCAGGCGCCCTGTAAACACGTTCCTATGCATAGAGTTTGATCTACTGCGATTATATTTCCAATGAGATCTTAGCCAACCTATCTATTTTCAAGCAGATGTGAATTATCCAATTCATTCTGAGAACAAGAAGCAAAAGATTGACTTGTAAAACAATTAAGTGGAATCTTTTTTAAGATTAAACTCTGAGAGTTTTCTCTTCTTGAGAAATTTCTCTTCTCTTACAGCATATCGGCTGTGCCATTGGCACTCCCAATATCTGCAGCAGATGAAAATATTTTTAATCAATCCCTCAAAACAACTAGGAGTTCAGGCATCCCCAGAAACGTGGGTCCCAACTTCCCTGCTATCTTTCAAGCTTTTGTCTAAGGGAGCTATATATTCTTCAGGATTCTTCAGGCGCCGAGTAACAAAACCCAGGGGTTTTTTGTTTTGTTTTGCTTTTTTGGTGGAGTGGTGAAAACAGTGTATCAAGTTCTCTCTCCATAGATGCATGACAAGTAGGTAGTGGGTAGGTAAGTGGGTAGGTAAATAGGTAGGTAGGCAGGTAGATACATGATAGATGTCTCCTTTTTTCAGATCACTTGTTTTCAGTATTGATCTCATCTTCTACTATATAAAGGAAAGCTTCCTATGTCACGAGAAGACTAGTGTTTGACTTCAGCTAATACCTAGATTATCTTCCAGCTAGTAACCCTCAAGAGAGCTTCTCTCCTCCCATCTTTATGTGAAGCCCCAGACCACATTCCCACCCTTTACGCAGATTACTGTGGCTGGAAGATGAGTTAACAATGATTGGCTAAGCCCAGAACATGTCACCTTTCAAGGGCCTTTAGTACTGTGGTTACTTCGTACTAATGGTTAGCAACCTCACCCAGATTGGCACCAGAAAGGGCTTCACCAGCAGCTCCTCTGCTGTTTGCCAAATAGGATGTTGCTCAACTGGGTCACTTGGCTTTTTGTCCCAAGGCCATCCACTTGTAGACATGCCCAGCTCCATTGAGGACATTTGTGAAACCAAAAAAAGAGATCCTGGACGCTTGGTCAAGGATATGTGGAGTGAGGAGGCTCTATCACTGAGGCTGGTGGACAAGCACCAGTTAAGATCCTGAACTGCCATTGTGGTTAGTGACACCTCTGTCATATCTGTCTTCTTATCAGAACATCCCGACCTGCATTTTGAGCCACTGTACTTTCTAAAGCCTTATTACTCATAACTCAGATGAATCACCTCCTCCCGTGCTTCCTTGCCTTTTTAAATAAACTTCAGTTTAGGGGCGCCTGAGTGGCTCAGTCGGTTAAGTGTCTGACTTCAACTCAGGTCATAATCTCATGGTTCGTGGGTTCAAGCTCTGTGCTTGACATCAGGCTCTGTGCTGACAGTGCAGAGCCTGGAGCCTGCTTCGGATTCTGTGTCTCCCTCTCTTTCTCTCTGCCCCTCTCTCTCTCTCTCTCTCTCTCTCTCGCTCAAAAATAAATATTAAAAAAGAAAAAATATCACTCAACAAAATGCCCATTAACACTCCTTTTAAATTCCTTTTTAAATTCCTTTAAACATCTTATTTCATGCTTTTTATTCTTATTTTATGTGTAATAAATGTGTACATATTTAAGGCATACAACCTAATGACTTGATATCCAAATTAAAATGATTCCATTCACCATAGCATCAAAAATTGTCAAAATAAATTCAATGAAAAAAGGATTTGTACACTTAAATCTATAAAATATTGCTGAAAGAAATGAAATTACTAAGTAAATGGAGAGACATTTGATATTCATGGATTAGAAAATTCAGTATTGAACAAATTGGTCCATAGATTTAATGCCATTCCTATCAAAATTCCAGTAGGCTTTTTAAATAAATTGACAAACTGATTCTAAATTTTACATGAAAATGCACAAGACCTAGTCTAACCAAAAAGGATTCTGAAAAAGAACAAAGTAATTACACTCACTGATTTCAAAATTTACTACAAAGTTATAGTAATCAAGACAATGCAGTATGGTCATATCAGTAAGCATATAAATCAACAGAACAAAATTGAGACACCAGAAATAAAACCTTATATTTATGGTTAATTGATTTCGATAAAGGTACCCAGACAATTCAGTGAAGAAAGAATTGTCTTTTTGATAAATGATGCTGTGGATAATGATACATCTGTATACAAAAAAAAAAATCATAACCTAGACCTTACCTCACGACACAGACACACACACACACACGCAGAAATGGACCATGGATTTAAATGGAAGAGTTAAAACTGTAAAACTTCTAGAAGAAAACAGGAGAAAATCTTTGTAAACTTGGATTAGGGAAAGAGTTTCCTAGATACACCAAAAACATTATCCTTCAAAGATAATATTGCTACATTAGACTATGCACTTCAAAAGACACCATAAAACTGTCAGATACTGCTTCACAATCACTAGGACAGCTAAAATCAAAAAGACTGGCTGTAACAAGTATTGGCAAAGAGGAGTAGAAATTGGTACCCTCCTACATTGCTATGAGATTGTAAAATGGTTGCAGCCCCTCTGGAAAACAATTTGGCAGTTCCTCAAAATGACAAACACAAAGGCACTAATCCCATTTCTAGGTATGTACCCAAGAGAAATGGAAATATGTGTCCACACAAAACTTGTATACAAAATGTTCATAGCTGTGCTATTCACAATAGCCAAAAAGCAGAAACAATATAAATGTTCATCAGTTGATGAATGGATAAACAAAATCTGAAATATCCACGTAACAGAATATTACTCAGCCATAAAAAGAATGAGGTATTGATTTATGCTGTAACTTGGAGGAACCTTGAAAATATTATGCTAAGAAGTCAGATGCAAAAAAAAAACCCTACATATTTAACAATTTCATTTATATGAAATATCAAAGAAAATTTTACAAATACGGAAAACAAATCAATAGTTGCCTGGGATTGGGGATGGAAACAAGCATCAGGGAAACATTGTAGGATGATGGATATGTTCCAAAATTGGATTGTGGTAACAGATGCACAACTATAGAAATCTACCAAAAATCATTGAACCATAAATTTCCAAAGCGTGGATTTTATAGTAGGTAAATTACAGTTCAATAGAGCTGTTAAAAAAAATTGATTGGCTACAATATTTATCTTCTCAAAATCGCCTTTATTTCACAGTATCAAAAGGCTTACACAACGACAACAGATAATATGCTCCGTTAGAAGAGAAGATGAAAATATGGGAATCCTTTGTCTGATACATTGTTTTATTTTTTCCTGGCTTTAAGCCTGAATTTATGTTTTGCTGACGTGCTTCTAAATCCTCTTTCTTCTATGCACTTTGCTGCACTTGCCGAGAAAGAAAAAAGTAACACATGAAATCGAGTAAATTACTGTTTTATTTAGGGGCGCCTGAGTGGCTCAGTTGAGCTTCCGACTGGCTCAGGTCATGATCTCGCAGTCCATGAGTTCTAGCCCCACTTGGGGCTCTGTGCTAACAGCTCGGAGCCTGGAGTCTGTTTCAGATTCTGTGTCTCCCTCCCTCTCTGACACTACCCCATTCATGCTCTCTCTCTCTCTCTCTCTCAAAAATAAACAAACATTAAAAAAAAAAAAAACCTCCCCCATTCATGTTCTCTCTGTCTCAAAAGTAAATAAACGTTAAAAAAATTTTTTTTAAATTAGTGTTTTATTTGTGTATTACGTCAAACTATTGGAACTAGAGGGACTCCCAGAAAGACTAGTCTGTGTCTTTTCTGAAGAGTCTGTTTCTCGCCATTAGTACACAAAACCACAAGAGGTTGATTTACTTCCAGAAGAAATCAACAGATTATTACCGAGCCTCGATTTAACTTGGTTTTTACCGAGCACAAACAAAAGGACATTTCAGCTTTCAGGAGAATTATAAACACACGCCCCCTGTTACAGTCGCCGGGTCATTGATTTTGATGGTAAGATTGGAATGCAAGCAAGTAAGACAATTTTTCTTAAAGAATGGGCTATGTCCGTAGTCTTAACTGATACTCTAACACTGGTTTTCCGCCAAGGCCATGACTGTCCTAAGGAGAAGAGAATCTACCGAAGAAGAGGATGCTGTTGGACTCATTGTGCCTGACGAAGAACAGGAAAGGGTGATTGCAATGAAAATGTTCACAACCCGGCGCCAGTGTGAGAGCAAAGCCCACACCGGTGCCTGCTGCGGCCTCAGTCCCTTCCTCGGTGACCGCCACAAAGGCCCTGTGCAGGAACTTCTTCGCCTGCAGCCCGGAGTGTGAGGACAGCCCCAGAGAGTCCGTTCTGTACTCGCTGAAAGCGTCTGCCGGCCCCCTGGCTGCCAAGACGGCCTCCAGGGCCTCCAGATCGTACCCATCTTCCACTTCAAACCGCGGTAAGTGCAAGGTCACGTTCCTTTCTTCCATATGCCCCGGGTTAGTCCACTCTACTAAATTTTCTGGAGTTATTTGATCTATAATCTATGCAGGAAAAGTGGTATGATTATCAACACAAAGTTAGAACACTGTAACACTGATTTGAAGCTGTTAGAAATGATTAATTTTAATAATGCACAAAAGAAATGTTATTCCACTAGACCGTTGTCTTTATAGCAGGCACTTGTCTTACACTTCTTTATTCATCTTTATGTATGTGAAAACTCAGTAGTAGTAAATGAATTTTTAAGGATGAGAAATAAGGTATTTCTTATTCTATCAATCCACATATTATTTCATTTTTTACTATTCCCCTGTAGTCTTTTATGCATACATAATGTATAATTTATATAGAGTAAGTCTTATATTTATATGAATTACCTGTAATAAATATGTAATAATATACCTTACGTAATATATATATTTACTTACATGATATATATTTACATAGTTGCAATTACAGTGAATGTCCATGTTACTTGTTTTAATGTAAACTTTTTCAGAGGTCTGTATCTCTCCTAAATATCTTCAGACTGATAGATAATACTTCCATCGAGCTGATAAATTTTGCCAAACATTCATCCACTCATTTTACAATCATCTAGTAAGTATGCATCATGATGGATGCTTATAGATACTGTGGATCTGAAAATAGCGATGATGATGATGATGATGATGGTGGTGGTGGTGATGAATTTCGAACTAGGTATCTTAGTATATTTAATGCAGAAATTACTGATTTGACTCAGAAAGGCAATTTTGTTTCTTCTGAACTAGAATTTTGGAGTCAGAATATGAATACTCTTAAAGCTTTCATACATATTGCCATTCTGCTATCCCAAATTTTTCCAACATGCAAAGCAACTAGAGATGTTTCACAGCCAGAGAACAGCATCTAGTATCATAATAATATAGCATCCATCATGTATCGAGTTATTTCCATGTACTGGGCCTCTTTTTGGAGCTATCTTAGACTAGGTTTAAATCAAGGGGGACTAAATCAAAGGGTTCAAGATTAAAGATCTTATGGATTTGGGACGATTATTATGTGTCAATGGAGGTTCATCTTTGGATTAAAAAATTACCACTCTGGTAAGTGACGTTGATTATGGAGGAGACTGTGTATGTGGGGGCAGGGAGGAAATGGGAAATCTCTGTACCTTCCTCTCAATTTTGCTGTAAACCAAAACTGCTCCAAAAATAAAATAAAATAAAATATTTAAAAATAAATCAGGGGTGTCTGGGTGGCTCAGTCAGTTAAGCGACCGACTCTATTTTGGTTCAGGTCATGATCTCAATGTTCATGAGTCTGAGAGCCCCACATCGGGCTCTGTGCTAACAGAGAGGAGCCTGTTGGGATTCTTGGGATTCTCTCTCTCTCCCTCTCTCTCTGTTCCTCCCCCACTTGTGCCCTCTCTCTCAAAATAAATCAAGACACTTAAATTTTTTTTAAAACAAATAAAAAGAAATTAAAGTTCCAAGAAAGAAATTCAGGAGGTCTCATAGCCTATTGAACAGGATGCAAAATTTGCTGTATGTGCAAATGCTGTTCTTTTCTGGGGAAAAGGTGCACAGAGATCAACCATTTCTCAGAATAGTGGCTGATCTTTGGAACTCCCATATGACCTTAAATGTTCGTGTTCGCTCATCCCCAACTATTTCGGTATTGGTTGTTTTCAGGAAACCCGATACTGCTTAATGCCTCTTTTTAGACATCCATCTGTAGTTGCTGCACAGAGTAAGGAAGAGTGTCTGCTCGACACCAGCTCCAGATCAGTAGTCCTGTTTCCAAGCTTACCCAGAAACAAGCTTTAGGACACAAAGCCTCAGGAGATGAAAGCAAGACTGGGGAGATGCAAGGTTTTACCTTCTCCAGGCCATCTGTGTCATTGGGCAGCAACACACACAGGCTTAGGTCATTGTTTCTATACGGAATTCCCAGAATCTTGGCTTGTAAGTCCTCCAGGAAAGTGAAGCTGTAGGTACAGGTCTGTGTCATCATTGGCACACATTTGCTCACACTCTGCAACAAAGCAATAGAGCGTGCAGTGTCAGAGGAGGCGGAAGACAGCCAGGTTCGCCCACCAAAGTGATTGGCTCCCCCAAAAATAGTGCTAAAGATCAGGGCCTCCAGTCAGTATTTGCAGTCTACCACGTTCGTTTGCTCAAGTAGGGCTTTAGATTGTACGTTCCACGTGTCAACACATCACATAAATAAATTAGGGGCCATACCTTATTCAGCCAAAACTCTTCCTCTTTGGTATTTTCTTTCTTAAACTCCCTGTCCCATTGCCCTTTAAAATAAACTGTGTTCACCAGTGCCAGCTTGGTGAAGCTGTCTAGAGAACCATCTGGAAACAGGTCCTTGATTTTTTCTGCAAATGAACAACAACAACAACAAAGTTGGTCCATTTTCAAAATCACAAGTGCTAGGCAAGGCAGATATGATGAAGGTGGACTTGACTCGTCACTAAAAACTCAGCCAGGCCAGCACCTGAGGGCCTTGCCGACAAAGGGTTTGCTGGCAGAGTTGTAGGGAGGCCCTCGCTTTGCCCACAGCCCATGTGTCCCATTGGATAAAATGAAGTACGATGGTTAAGCGTTCAGGTTCTGGGATTGGACTGCCTCTGTTAGCATCCAGTTTTGCCTCTTACCAGTTGAGGAATCTTGGGCAAGTTATTTAAGCTCGCTGTGCCTCAGTTTCCACATCTGCAAAACAGGAATAAAACCTGCCTCATGGAGTGGTTATGAGGAGTAGATGACTTAATATGTGTAGAGCACTTGGAGCGCTTTCCAGCTCATAAGCACGCAGTAAGTGTAAGCTATTATTTTTACCCATTTGATATAATTACCACCCGAAACTTAGGGATTTATTATATTATTGGAAAAGAAACTGATGTTTTTGTCTCTGGGTTTAGCCCCTCCCACACTAAATTCTGAAGAATATTGCCATCAGTCAACCCTTTGATAGACCCTCCTTTTTTCCTGCTCTTCAAATTTTATTTTATTTTTTGGTCTAAGTATAAAGATGGAAAAATTGTATTGTGAAATAATAATGTCTTCATTATGGATAACTGGAATTTTAAAAAATGTATTCTGAAATTCTAACACTAAAGTATCAGCTATTGCCCTCCCCCCCAAGTGTATTTCCATATTAAATAGTCCTCTCTGGTATTTCTTGTGTGTTTGGCTCATACTAGGGGATAAGGAGAGAGCATGAAGTGAGGCTTTGTCAAGTTCTGTGCTGAGGATGGGGCTGAAAGTTGTTACCGTCCCAGCATGATGCTCTAGTGGAGATGAAGGCCAGGCAGCCCCAGCTGGAGGCCATAAAGATCTTGGTGGGAGGAGAGCTAAATGTCTCTCACTTGACAAGAGAAAGGAGACACTCTATGATATTTCCTCTTACAGACCCAGACTAAGAAAGAAAGGCTCTCATATAAAGGAAAAGATGTGAACCCAACACAGACACGGGTCCAGTTTCAGGAGTCCTGAAGATACTGTGAGGCACAGCCATGTTCAAATCATTCTCCGTTATGGAGCTGGCTTCCTGTGGTCCCTCCCTGGGGCCCCCTTGGCTCTCTCCCATTTTCTGAGACTATTCCACTCTCTGTAGTGTCTTCTCCCACTCCTCATGCCCAGCCCTGCCCTTCTAACCCTAACAAACTTATCTCAAGTCTGAACCCCCCAAAGGCTTGTGCACCCTGGCACCCTATGAGTGTCCAGCTCAGAGCAGGTGCTCAAGAAGCATTTTACAATGAATGACCCATCCATACTGTACCCTTTGTTTGGCTTTCGACCCAGGAATTAATCTTCTTTCGACTTTCGTCTGCTGCATTTACAAAGTCAACAGGTTCCAGAGAAGCGTGGTAATATTTTTCCACATAATCTAAGTATTTCTTTAGGAGGAACAGGGAAAGAATAGAAGGAGGTTGAAAATTCAATTTATTTTGAAAAAAGGAAATTCAGTTTATCCATTTCCAACATCTCTAAAAAATGTGTCTGTACATTAAAGATGGCTGACATTGTTTTCAGGGTGTCTTAGGACCTGGGAAAATCACTTCTGAGTACTTCCAGGCACGTTTTTGGCAGGTACAATAGGGTTAAGGCAAAAAAGCAGATTTAGACTGCCAGAATTAAAAAGAAGCTCCCAAAGGGCCTGAATGTCTGGAGAACAGGCAGGGGGACACCCAGTGATGTGGACTGAGCCAGGCAGTCAGCTCAGGCAGTATGCCTCCAGGACCCACAGTCCTAAATGGGCCATCGGCCATTCATGAATACCACTCACAGATGTGGCGGATACAGCTAAACTTACTTGAAGGAAGAGGTATGTCTTTTCTCCAAAGAGCCTGTTGGCTATTCTTAGTTCATAACCATTAGTGGATTTGCCTATCTCACTCAAAAACTCTTGGAATTGGTGATGTATCTCTTCTGTCTTCTCAATCTTCAAAATCAAAACAATATATATGTTATATATATGATATTCTGTATTCTTATAATAAAGTAAGCTCAATAAAAGACAATGTTATTAAGAAAGTCATAAGGAAGAGAAAATACATTTACAGTACTGTATTTATCAAAAAAAAGATCTGCATCTAAGTGGGCCTGTGCCATTCAACCCCATGTTGTTCAAGGGTCAACTATCCCTGAATATCAATGACTGGTGACTTCAAGGCCAGTGGGGTTTCAGGTCCCACTCTCTCTGTACAACTGTATGAAATGGGCCAATATACACTGCCAAGTGGTACAGATATTGGTATAATCCCCTTGGCAAATAGTTTGGTGATATTTAATAAAGTTGAACATACATACACCCTACCTTCCAGATACATACTATAGACCAGTGTTGCCCCATAGAAATATAATGCAAGCCACAAATGTGAGCCACATATATAATCTTTTTTTAAAAGTTTTTATTATTTTAGAGAGGGAGAGAGCATGAGTGGGGGAGAGGGGCAGAGGAGAGAGAGAGAATCTTAAGTAGGCTCCACACTCAGCATGGGGCCTGATATGGGGCTTGATCCCACAACCTCAGGATCATTTCTTGAGTCAGATGCTTTACCAACTGAACCACCCAGGCGCCCCAGCCACATATATAATCTTAAATTTTCTAGTGACTACATTCTTAAAAGTAAAAAGCAGATAAAATCAAGCGTAGTATTATATTTTATCAAACCAAATATATCTAGAACATCATTTTGACATAACTATAATACATAATTATATATATAAATATACAAGTATATATTATTTCAACAAAAATAATATATAAAAATTAACAAGATGTTTTATATCTGTGACATGATAAAAAAATGTATACTTGGTCTGTTTCTCCGGTGTCTAACACAGAGCTCCTAAACCTTGTAATTTGCTGACTACAAATTCCTGGGTGCTAGGAAGCATCTTTTCTTTTGATATTTTCTCTTTGATCCCAGTTCCTGACACAGAACTCCTAAATTCCTTGGAATTTCCTGAGTGATAGGGGCATCTGTTGTTCTAACAACTTCAGGATGGGGGCTGGTCATCGGAAAAGACCAAACCATAATTAGAAGCTTGGAATTTTCAGTCCCATCTCCCATTCTCCAGGGAAAGGAGAGGGGCTGGAGGTAGAGCTAATCACTGAAAGTGCCTCTATGATAAAGCTTTCATAAAAATCCCTAAACTACAGCATTTAAAGACCTTCTGGGTTGGTGAACACATCCATGTTCTAGGAGGGTGGTGCACCCCAAACTCTTGGGAAAACCTGAGACTTCACCCTATATACCTCTTCATCTGGCTATTTGTTTGTATTCTTTACAAGAAACCAGTGTTTCCCTAAGTTCTGTGAGCCATTATAGAAAATTATCAAATTTGAGTAGGGGGTAATGGGATCCTCTGATTTGTAGCCAAGTTGGACAGAAGTGTGAATAATCTGGGAACCTACTTCCTTGCAATTAGCATCTGAAGTAGGGCAAGTCTTGTGGAATGGAGCTCTTCAACGTGTGGGGTCTGCACTGACTTCATGCAGTTAGTGTCAAAATTGTTTAATATAAGGAAACTCACACGTTTGGTGTTAGAAGTTTTGTGAGTAGTAAAACAGTTTTCCTTCAACATTATTTTCTCATACTAAGATCTTGAAATGCGATGTATATTTGACACTTACAGCACCTTTCAGTTTGAACTAGGTATATTTCAAATACTTTATAGCCAATTCAGTGGCTACCATATTTGAAAGCTCAGGACTAGAGAGACTCTCATCCAGGGAAACTACAAGGCTTGTATAAGAAGCGTCATCTGTTTTTAATAAGAAGGAAGAAAGGAAGCAAGGAAGAAAGAAATCACCTATGAACAGGATCAATGGGCTAATAGCCATGAAAATGAATCATCAATGGCTACAAGTATCCACCTAAAATAAATGAATCTTATAAATACAATCCTGAGCCCAAAATAATGAGGTTTCAAAGAATAATAAAATTTTAAAAAAATACATGCAATGAAATAATACAGAAATAACAAACACCAAGTTCAGGATAGTGGAACTTCTTTCAGGAAAGGCTGGGAATGTGTTCAAGGAAAGTACTTGGTGGCATTAGCTAGTTTGTCAATAGTTTATTTCTTTTTTTTAATTATTTTTTTTAACATTCATTTTTGAAAGACAGAGACAGTGTGAATGGGGAAGGGGCAGAAAGAGAGGGAGACACAGAATTCAAAGCAGGTTCCAGGCTCCAAGCTGTCAGCACAGAGCCCGACGCGGGGCTCAAACTCACAGACTGCAAGATCATGACCTAAGCCGAAGTCGGCCGCCCAACCGACTGAGCCACCCAGGCGCCCCCTCAATAGTTTATTTCTTACACTAGAAGGGAGAGTTAAAAGGTATTCAGAATTGCATTATTCAGAATTGCAGAAGTGTATAAGAATTCCTAATACCTTTTGTACACGATATCTTAAAATTTTATCTTCAATTTTTAAAAGCAAGGTTCAGAATACTCTAAGTTTATGTGATAATGAAATGTGCATCTGGCATGTCTTTGAGCAAATCACTGTACTCATCTGCTTTCTCATCTATTGAAAGAGGGGATTAGAGCATGTGGCCTCCAAGACATGCCTCAGTCCTAATGTCCTTTCAGTCAGTAATTCTCTTCTCCTTCATGCTTCTGTGGGTCCCAGAAAAGTCCTGAGGGGTGGACAGAGTTGCTATGCAGAGTTGTACAGGTTGTGCCCTGCACAAAGCTGAAATTCAGCCGTCACCCCCCAAGGGGGCGTTCCTTTTTCTAATTCCTGCAAAGATTCTGTCCAGGCTACCATGCTTGGGAGGGAGAGTGCTCTGAAAACAGCTGTGCTCCGTGGCCAAGTGGACAGTGGAGCAGCTATCTGACCCAGTTCTGTTACACAAACTTTGTAAGGAAGCCTGACTCTCCACATATGCCCCATAGCCAACCAGACAACCTGGCCATGTGGGACTGTGAAATGAACAGCTCGGATTGCTGGGTGATTGGAGCCATGATTTTATGAGCATCTGGTGCCGAGCCATGACTACTGTCAGGGTAGATGTGCCTTCCCCCACCCCGAGAGCTCTAACCATCCCCAGATGCCAGCCCTGACCTCTGGACTTCCCCATGTTCGAGCAGATTGTCCTTTGAGGAGCAATACTACAACCTTAGAGCCAGAAGTGACCCTAAGAAGTCATTGGTCCTGTGCTAATACATCGTTAATGTAAAATATCAGCAAGGGAGCTTAAAATAAAAATAGAATGTAGTGATAGTATCGCCTACTACCGCCATTATTACTGGGTGAGTCAGCAGTATGTTCCAGACCTCCACTGGGTACTTCATAGAGGCTCAAAGAAAATGAATAGCTTACCCAAAGTAGCATGGCTGGTTAAGTGACTGGGTCAGGCTTTGAACTCAAATCTGTTTAACTCCTAAACCCATTCACTCTGCCATAGGGACTTTTCAGTCCATGCATATTTACATCAGAGTGGTCAAGGTGCTTTAAAGTTAAAGTCTCCTCTTGGGGCACCTGGGTGGTTCAGTCGGTTTAAACATTCGGCTTAATATTCGGCTTAAACATTAAACTTCGGCTCAGGTCATGATCTCGCGGTTCGTGGATTCAAGCCCCGTGTTGGGTTCTGTGCTGACAGCTCAGAGCCTGGAGCCTGCTTCGGATTCTGTGTTTCCTTCTCTTGCACTCATTCTCTCTCTCTCCCTCTCTCTCTCTCTCAAAAGGAAATAAACATTAAAAAAATTTTTTAAAATAAAGTTAAAATCTCCTCTTAATATTAAGGGTTTGTTACTATATAATACCAGCAACCCTATTTGGCTGCAGTGATTAAAAACAAGCATAAACTATTACCCCTCCTACACATTTTCCCAGGGAGCCCATATCAACAAAGCAGACTAACTGAAGACTGTAACACATATCTCCTCACCTTTTTTTCTTCGGCTTTGATTCTTGAGTTCCCTGCCTCTTTTTCAGAAGAGAGCATCTGGAAGGACAGAAAATATTATGGTTGTGGTCAGAATAGAGAAACCCTCACATAGAATCAGTCTGGGGGTGTTGAATGTTTGTTCAAGAAACTTCAGTGGTAGACAGGTAGCATTTCTCTCCTTGCAAAATCATGCACAGGTCTGGATTGCCCATTGATCTCACCTACATCGGTTAATCCTTTCATGTACTGATCTTTGATGCGTCATTTATAGGCTAGTGGAGATTACACAACTTCTTCCAGTGGGTTTTGTTCTTCATGCTGTGTCTTTAGTAATGAGGTTAAAGACTTTGGACAAGGCCACTCACTCAGCACCCCCTCAAAGGAATTTCAAGCACCAGGGAGCAGATGGCTTGGCGATATTTGGAGAGGGAGGAGGACTTCCCTCATAGACCTGCAATTGCCCTGTGCCTTCACGTGCATTCTCTGTTGCCTAGCCCCATTTCAGGGTAATGCCGGAGGGCCTGCCTGGACAGCTTCCTTACCTTCTGTAACTGGGCCAGGGTGGCTCCTTGGGTCCCGAAGACGAGCATGCCGATGGCAGCTGAAATGCCCACGGGGGAAAAGAAGATGTTGCCATCTTTTGTCTTATTCAGTTTTTGGAAAAGATTAAACCCAAACCTTGTGTATGCTGCAGCAAGCGAATCCATGAAGATCCCAGCAAGATCTAGAACAGCAACAACAGTCAAAACCAAACAAGTTCATTTCACCTATTTGAATTGCTTTCTGTCACAGGAACCCGTCCTGCTTCTCTTCCTGTCCGTGTATTGATTCAGGAAACAGATTTTCATCCTCCCAGGGAAAAGTCACTGCTGCCTGCTTCTCACCCCTTTCCTTGGCCTTCTCTGGACAGGAGACGCGAATCAATCTGGCATCATCCGCTGTTTCTGTTCTCATTTCCCTAGGCATCAGGGTTGACACCTAAATGGTTTTCTTTTCTCTTGTTCTCTGCCAGAGTCTGCCTGTGTCTGCCTGCCCACTGCTTCCTCCCCCCAGGCGGGCCCAGCCCTTGCCTGCTCCCTTCTGATGGCCCAGCTGCTGGCCCGTGACCAGGCCAGTGAAGGGCCTGAGAATTCTTGCTGATCTCAAGTCTCCAAACCAACCTTAAAATAATAAAGTCGATAGTGGCTCCTTCTCAGGTACTTTGTATTTCTCAACTGATTGAAATCTAGTGCAGAGAGTGACTAGATGGATTAGCTATCTTAAACCCCAGTCCCTAACTGCAGGAAAACTGGAGTCTTGTCTGAATTTTCCCTAAAGGGCAATGACAGATCTCTTTGCCATGGGTTATTAAGTAGAGGCAAAAGTGTTTTCTTTCCTCTACTTTTTCTATATTGTTTCAGGCTTGTGCCATGAGTTCATATTACTTTTGTAACCTCACACACACACACACACACACACACACAAATAATTTTAAAGAGCAATTACTGTTTACTAAAATAAGCAATTACAACACATTTTATGCTTTCTTCACCACCAGCTATGTTACAACTAGTGAATGAAGGCTTTAAGAAAAATCCTAAAACAAGAATGAGATTAGTGTGGAAGAAAATTTTTTGAAAGCCAAAATACTTTGAGGGGTTTTTGAATCGAGGGCCCATCCCTGTGAAGGCATTCCACATCTGCTGTTAAAACTTCCATTTCAACCCCAAGTTTCCTTACAAGGATTCCTTACGAGTTAACTCAGAAATCAAATCAATCAGGGTGCCTGGGTGGCTCAGGCAGTTGAGAGTCTGACTTCGGCTCAGTTCATGATCTCGCAGTTCGTGAGTTCGAGCCCCACATCAGGCTCTGTGCTGACAGCTCAGAGCCTGGAACCTGCTTCAGATTCTGTGTCTCCCTCTTTTTCTGCCCCTCCCCCACTTGTGCTTCCTCTCTCTCTCTCTGTCTCTCTCTCTTTCTCTTTCTCTCAAAAATAAATAAAACACTAAAAAACTTTTTTAAAAAGAAATAAAATCAATTAACTTACAGTCTAACAACATGATGATACATTGTCATGACTATGTAGGCACTGAATTAAATAAAACCAGCCCAAGGAAAATTATGCACAATGAAAGTAATTCTTTCAAATCAACAAACATCAGTGTTCCCAAAACACTGACATCTTAAGCTGAAGCTAAAGAAAGGACTTACCTGGATTTTGGAGAGACAGAGGTGGCTAGGAAAGGAACCAGGAAGCATATGTAGCAGGAGTTGTTGAGATCTTTAATTTATAGCTCTCTCTCTGTCTCTCTCTGCCTCTCCCTAGTCATTATCTTTGCATTTCAAGTAAAACAATTTTGGTTTCTCAATGATAATTTCTCTAATAAAATTAGCATACACGGTTTATGACAAGCTGAGGATTACATTTCCTGTTTCTTCCACTCATGGCCATGAAGCTGTGCACTTGATCTCAGCAACTGTTTTGTGAACTGTAGTTCACAAAGGGTGCACCTTAGGACATAGAGGAATAGAGTTTAAATTCTAATTCCTTACAAAGGATTTTGGAGGCCCAAGCATAAGATCAAAATCAGCCAGACAGCAAAATAAGATTAAAAGCAGGAGCTCAACCCAAGACCAAAGAGTAGCATGAGAATGACCAAGTTAAATAGATTATGACTCAGGTGGAAAAACCATCAGAGGGCGGTCTTTCATCCCCAGTGATCTTCAGGATCCTTTGGAAAGAATTGTTTAGATGACTGGTTCTCCACCTTGGATACACACTAAAATCTCCTGGGAAACAAACAAACAAAAACTGTGCCCAAGCCCTACCCCAGACAACAAAGTCAGCATTTGCTGGGGTGGGAACCAGACATCAGAATTTTTATCACCCCAGGTGATTATGATGTGCAGCCAAGGTTGGAAATCACTGGTTTATAGCCTGACAAAGATCTGAATTAATACGTGCTTTACTTACCATGGAAGTATGGGGCTGTGTCCTAGCAAGCCCAGTCTCTGCAATAAAGTTAACTTAGCAGTTGCTCCTTATTTTAGGATGCTGAATGAAAAGAAGAAAATGAAAGAAAACTACCTTACAAGATAAAAAAACAAAAAGTGGTGAAAAGAGTTTGGGCAGGTAGCTAAACACACACATGCACACACGCATGCACTCACCACTCTTGTTCTCAAGCGTTCTCTCTTTAATTATGAAATCCCTCATTTTAGTTCATTCAGTAAGCATTGGTTGAGAGTCTATTATGTACCAAACACTGGGCTAAGGACCAATAATTCATAACATCCAACAAGCTCATTGTTTCAGGAAAACAACACTGTTTCCAAAAAAACTCAGTAAGAGATTCCAGTTTTTCCTGCTAACCCTGAGGCATCCCTACTGGCTCTACTAGTCCATTAAAGAAACAGTGCTTGGATTATTCTCAGCATTGGTCTTGGGTAAAGGGTGTGAAGATTCATCGTTGTTGCCAAGAAACAAATCTTAGAAGGACAGTTTAGCTATTCCCTCTCACCCGCATGTCTGCCTAAGGAAGCAGCTCAGTGATGTACCTTCTAAGGGCATGGTCAAGTGTGTACCAATCTCAATACTCACACTTTGCTTTTTGTTTTTTGTTTTGTTTTGTTTTGTTTTTTTCCTGAACACAACTCTTCAAGCAAATTCAAAGCAGTATTTAATTAACTTTGCTTTCTAATTGTCACTGAGAAACATGCCAGTTGAGTAAGGTTTGGAAAGAAAAAGTACTTGGTTGTGGAGTTGACCTTGGATGCCAAGAAAGTGAAGGTCTTAGGGTTTTTTTTAGATGTTATGAAATCTTTGAGTCGGCAATAATGCTCCATTTTTGAACCTCCCTATCAGTATATGTCTTCTAATTCCTTTCTCTGTGACCCTAGACTCCGTTGTATGGCCCAGCTACCTCTGCAAGCCCTCCACATTTTCCTAAAGCATTTCCTCTATCAGGCACTTTCACAGGGAGGCCTGGCTTTCCCCTGGGGACCACACATCCCACAATCTTCCCTGGGACAAACAGTCATATCTTGGAATCAGGAAGCAAAGTCCCCATTCCTAGTCTCTCTCCTACCTTTGCTCCTTCCAAGCCTTTCTTCCTTCAACACCTTCAGTGTTCCCTTTAGAGATTTACCCTGTCTCGCTGTGCCCTTCCCGAACCATAGCTACCCCCACCACCCCTGCTAGGCATGGTCTTCTTGTTCGCTGTAACCCCACTGCCCCTCTGTACATCTTCATAGTCCATGCCAGGGGCAGCTCGCACATTCCTGACATCTTCCCTCTCCTCTTGTGGTCCACACACATGGTCACACTTTAGGTGTCATCACCACCAGGAACTGCTCCTGCTGGAAATTACTGGACACCGAAATTCTTCCCTCTGGCTATGGAGTCTTATCCCTGTTCCTCCTAAACCTAATTTTCAATGTCACAACCTCCAATCATTGCACCCCTCCCTAACCTTCTATTTCATCAGCCTCTCCCTCCCAGTATCAAAACTGTCCCAAAGGTAGAAAATACATTGACAATTAGAAGAATAGTTCAAATGTTTCTGGGTGAGGAGACGAAAATAATTAAGCCCTGAACCAGAGTGCTAGAGGGTTCCCATCTATCCCAAGTTTGGACACAACCTCTACATCCGTGCATCAGTCTGTGACTGACGCTGGCATGTAACACTTCTTCTCCAAGACTATAATGTAATGGATGCCACTGGGTCCCAAACCAGATCCCTTTTGCCAGCCAGTGCTCCTGTCACCTGGCCGCCATTTTGTCTGACAGTTCAGTGGGGAACCATGCAGCACCCCACCTCCAGCCAGCGCACACCTCAGGTGTGACACACTGGCATAAGATACAAAAAGACAGGACATGAATTTTGTGGTGTAATTTTTCCTCCAGAACTTCTGCCATAGGATCAGAGTGAATCTAATCTCTAGCTGAGACTACATGACTGGTGAACAGGTTTCCATTCCCTGTCCTTCCTCTCTCAAGGAGAGGAAACCCTCTCCTCTCCTCCCCATCCAAAAAATTCCATGAACAAGAACCCCTGTCTGCAGCACTGCTTCTGGGGAAGCTGACCAAGACCAGGTGTCTTCATATCTCACCCAAGATCTCTCATTGACTTTGCTTTCTAAACAGTCCTTGGCAATTCTTGGAAATACTCTCCTTTAGATTAACTTTTCCATCAGTTTACCAAGGCCAATGAAAATTCCCCTGGGTATTTAGATTGGAACCTTTAGAATTGACACATTCATTGGGGGAAATTGTCATCTTCACATTAGGAACCAGAAACATGTTTATCTTACATGGCCCTCAGTAGAGTTTATAGATAGAAAGAAATGGAGAAAGAATGAAATAGAAAACCAGTTTTATGTTTGTGATCAAAAATAAAACAAGTATGCCACTATCACTGCTTCCATTCAAAATTAAACCAGGGCTTGGAGGGAAAGAACAGAAAAAAATAAACAAACAACAACAACAAAAAAAAACAATTCAGCAAATGTGATATGGCAATTGAATAATTAAGTTTCAAGACCCAAAATGAAATAAAATTATCATTCACACAGGAATTGACACATATGTTATAAGAATTTAAAAGTGAGTTTAGTAAAATTACTGAATGTAAGGTCTCTATAAAAAAATCAAATATTGTTTATACACTAGCAACACAATGAAATGCAAAAAAATGAAAAAAATTTTAAGTATATGATTTGATAGAGTACCCCAAACCATCACATACCTACTAAAAATGAAAGATGTGTAAGCCTCCACATAGAAAAGACCGAACATAATACAGGAAAATTAGGAAGACCTAAATAGATGGAGGAATGCTTTATTTATGGTTTAGAAGACTCAATATTGCCAAGATGTCAACTCTCTCAAAATTGATCATTGCAAACTCAGTTGAAATCCCAGGAGGTTTTTTTTGTTGTTGCTTTTCAAAAATTTGAGAAGCTGATTCAGAGCTCTGAGAATAACCAAAACACTCTTGGAGAAGGAGGAGGAGGAGGTAAGACCTGTTCTATCAGTTAGCAAGACTTGTTAATAAAGTGTGGCAAAGGATAGGGCAAAAGAAAGGCCTAGAAAGGTGTCTGTGCATATCTGCACACTAGATTTTTTTTTTAAGTATTACTGCAGAGCAGTGGGGGAAAAGTGATATTTTCCATAAACTATGCTGAGACAGTTGGATATCCATTGGGAAAAAATAAATCTTGACTACTGCCTCATACCACATGCAAAACATCAACCCTAAATGACCTGCAGAGCTAAATGAAACACAACAAAAACATTAACATTAATAGTAAAGATTAATAAATTGGACTACACAAAAGGTAAAAAGTTTCATTAATCAAAATGCATTATTAAAGTTGAACATACACATATCCCATGGCCCAGCATTTCCACCTCAGATATACACCCAACAGAAATGTGTGCTCATGGGCACCAAAAGACACGTCCAATGGTAGAACATAGAAATAAATTATGGTGTAGTCACACAATAAAATACTATACAGCCATAACGAGAAATGAGCTAAAGCTAGAGTCAACA